TATTATCTATCCTGATCTGGTTAAAGCTTTTATGAATAAAATGTCTGTATATCTGGATATGGATGAGAACCACATGATCCGGTCCACCATTAGAGATCATGAGTTTGTTGAGAATTTATCCACCCTTGCTAGACACCTTAAGATCCCATCAAAGGGATGCTTCCTGAGAAAAGGTGTAAACCATGTAGATGGACCCTGGGCAAACTATGATAAAATGGAGTATTACTATCAGATTTGCAGGTTCCCAAAAGAAACCGTTATTGCCAACTCCCGCACTGCTCGTATGCTATGCTATGCCAAGAATCTGACAGTATCTGATCGAATGCTTCACTACATTATCTGCTATGTCCTCATTCCAAAGGACTCAAATTACTCTCAGATCAACGACTTGGAAATGCAGCTGATCTTTGCTATTAAGAATCGCATCAGAGTCAATTGGATTTTGACTATTATGTATCATCTGCAGCAACAACTTCATTGCATTACCCGGCTGCCGTATGCTCGCTTGGTTTCTAGAATTCTGGAATTAACTGAACTTGACCTCAACAGAGAACCATCCTCCAAGATGAAACCTACAACTAATGAGATCAATGAGATTAATATTGTGAAGAATACTGGAATCATCAAGGCGGCTGACGGTACCTACAGGTATACTGATGATGGTCCTGTGCATCACGCTTATCCAATGCCTGAAGGGGGTCTGACCAGTGAGTTTCTCTACACAACCATGATGAACCAGCATCGAGAATCCATGAATATGCATAGAGAGACCTCCCGAGCAATTGCCTCCCTTAGAAACCTCATACTTAACCCTCCATATTCTAGCACCCGAGTTGTGGACGACGAGATTGAAGAAGAGGTTGATAGTGATGAAGAAGAAGAGGAGGAGGATATGGCGGATGAGGATGTTTAGAGAATATGCTGCTGCTGCTGTTTTTATTGCTTTCCTTTCTAGTTATAAGTTTTTATGCTTTCATTTGAACTATGTTTTATTGTAACAAGTACAATTTCTATTTGCTGCATTTTATATGTACTATGTTTGTGCTTTGTGTTTTCTTGGCTTTGCATGTGCTTATTACTATATTTGTTGCTATCTTGTGATTTCTTTGAAAGCTCTTCCTTTTTGCTGATGTCAAAGGGGGAGAAGAGCTTGGTTCTGTTAATATCTCTCTGTGTGCAGATTTTTTTCCTCTGTTAAGATAGGGGGAGTTGCTAGACATAGGGGGAGCACCAGATCAAGAACCAAGAGATATCGCACAACATTTTTGATTGCCATCATCAAAAAGGGGGAGAATGTAGAAGCATGCTGCTTCAGTCTCAAGTTTTGATGATGTCAATGCTACTCAAAGTTAATATCTCTTGATTGCAAAAAGACAAGCCGTTCAAAGTCATCAAGATCAAGTCAAGCTATCTTTCAAGTTAAGCTATATGGAACTGATTCTTCCAGACTTGCCTGCATTACTGGTATATCAAATCCACCTTTTTAATTTTGATATACAAGTGTTCAAAAACATCAATCTTTTGTGCATAATACATACACATGTTTTTGAAACTTTAAAAATGGTATTACATTAATTTTAAAAAGCATTTTTCTGAAAATTAGCAGTGTTAACCGATTAACCATATGGGTTAACCGGTTAACCATTTTGAATTTTGAATTTTCTGGGCTAACGTGCCAGTGTTAACCGATTAACCATATGGGTTAACCGATTAACACTGAACGTGCAGTGAAAAATTGCTTTGTTTTGAGTTCAAAATTATTTTTAAAATCATACCTTTTCATGGTTTGAATCTTTTAAAATCATACCTTTTGTGAAAGGTTATTTTACTCATATAAATTCTGAGTTTCTCATTTTTTGAAATGACACCAACAACAAAAACCAATTCTCATTTTTTAAATTTGTCTTAGAATCAAATTCATTTTTTCAAAAGTGTTCATACTTGCATTTAAAGTTTCATATTCATTGAACACTTGTATTGAAAAATTACAAAGAGTGAACTTTGATTCATTGGAGAAGATCACTTTGACAATTATACTCAATCCAAATTCATTACAATTTTTTTGTATTTGACTTGTGATCCAGGATTGTTGGACACAAGGGTGAGTGTTTACAAGAGGATTGTTCTTGTACACTTGTGAGTTTTTATTGTTTGATAGTAGGTCTCACCGGTTGATGGTGTGATAGGTTGTACTGTTTTAAACAATAGTGAAAATTCTCTTTCATGTTGAAAGGGGAGTGGAGTACTCTCGGATTGTGAGGGGAACCACTATAAATCCTGTGTCTTTCTTTCTTTCTGTTGATTTACTGCTTTCCATAACCAAGAACACCATCCAGTATATTTCCAAGAACCATATAAAAACCAGAAAAATTTCAAAAGTCCTAATTCACCCCCCCTCTTAGGCATACTCTGTTCTTACAGATAGTCTCCTCGTTTGTAGCGACAGGTCGCTCGTCACTCAAGTGACGTTCGTCACCGCTGTGTAGAAGGAAAAACTGTATGTATCACCATGAGAGCACTTCCAAAACACTGATTTCAACCCCGACCACTCAATTTGAATAGAAAAATATCACACACATTTATTCCATGTTTAATACACCATTTGCACACGAATTCATGATTTATTCCACAAATTTTCACCAAATCAATTCACATGTATATAATATTAGGCATAACAACACGAATAATCAACATTCATATTTTTACATAGAAATGATATTCGAATTTGAGAGACAAATCAGAACACAAATTAACTTCAATCACAACAATTGGGAGAAATGTTCTTGCCCAAACCTTCTCCTCATCCATAAACTCATCAATAGATGTACAAACACAATAAGGAAGAAGGCGAGGATCCCTCACTATCTATTATGAAATATACACTCAATAGTGAAAAATTTTCTCCTTACATAAATTCTGAAGAAAAAAATTGAAGCTTTTGCTTGAAATTTTAGGTTTTGCTTTTACCTCTCAAACTCCTATTTTGCTCCAAATTCTTCGTACCACCCCTTCTAATTTTCTTTTAAAATAAAAGCTTAATTCTTTTACTTTAGTTATTTTTATTTTCCCCTCAAATTCTGGTCGCTCACTCTTTACCACATCAATCTTATTATTATACCCATTTCCAACCCTTATCTTACAATTTTTTATTTTCTCTACTTTCTTCCATTATTTTAATTAATGAAAATAATGATAAAGAATATAAATTATATCACCTTAATTAACCCAAAAATAAAACACATAGAACACAATGTTTTAAAATCAAACCGAACCGGCCGGTTCAACCGATTGGATTAGGGATCAGAGATGAATTCGGTAGGGTTAATCTTTCAAAATCGCTAGTGGGTCAAAACTGAAATTAAACCGAAAAATCAGATTAAACCATCCAAAGCCATTCGAACCCAAAGAACCAGAGTCGATTTTATAAAACCGTCCGATTCAAAAAAATTAATCAAATTGGCCATTTTTAAAAATTTTAAAAAATAAATTAATATGTTAATATCAAAACTTAACATACATTACTCAATCACAAAAAAGAATTTTGTGTATTTTTTACAACCATACAAACTTTTAAGTTTTGTCAATCCATTATAGTTTTTCTTTCAACCACATTCCATCATTAGCATGTTGTCTATTTCATTTTCAAATATAGTCACAATATCCAACTCTATTGATTGTCATTCAAGTCAATATTGTTTATTGTTGTCAATTACGGCTTGTTTGTCGTAATTCAACTCAAATATGATTTTTTGTTGTTTAATGAAGTATATTGTATTATTTATATTTTGCCATTTTATCTTATTTAATTTAGGTACTCTCAATTATTTGAACTTTATTATATTTTATTATTTTCTTTTTGGTTTGAATTAGTTTAATTTATTTTATTGGAATTCTTTAGTTTGGTCAAAATATTTTTAAATGAAGTGTAGAACTATGTTATGTTATGTATTATTGATATTGTTTTATTAAATTTGTAATAGATTTTTGAAATATTTATTTTATTAAGTTGAGAACAAATAAGATAATAATGTGTGACATATCTATGAAACTTAATTTTATATTATTAGTTTATTTAATAAATGGTTCGACCGTAAGTTTAACTAATTGAACCTTAAACAGTAAATTTCATCGGTTTGATCTTCAATCCAGTTTTTAAAACATTGATATAACATACCAATAAATAATTTAAACATACAAAACTCAATAAAATAAATTAATTTAAAAACTAGGGTGACACTAATTGACTCTTAAAACCACCGTAAAACATCATCATACAAAATTTTTCACCGTCGTTGAAAAGTCTTAACCACCCTATAATCGTTATAAATCTACTAAGGTCTATGAGTCTCTCTATTCTTATCGAAGAAACATTCATACATATACTTTTTGATTATATATATATATATATATATATATATATATATATATATATATATATATATATATATATATATATATATATATATATATATATATATATATATATATATATATATATATATTACATATATATATATATATATTATATATATATATATATATATATATATATATATATATATATATATATATATATATATATATATATATATATATATTACATAATCATTAAATTTTTATAAATATTTAACTTTTGTTTTAATTACATCTAAAATATCATCTAACAAAAATGATTATGATACCGATCTTCTAAAACTTTTTGGGTGCATAACATTTAACTTCTTTATAATTACGCAATTGATCTCTTCTATGGTATGTTTACACACACTATTGCCTCATTATGTCGTGTATATCGGACGTAAAATAACAAAACAACTGAAAAGTATAAAAAACAGAAGAATAAAATCATCTCTCTCCCTTTTTTGAAACGACGAGTTTAACAACTTAGCTCACACGTCTTCGATCTTCAACTTCAAAAACGGTGTTCCTGAATTTCAGAAACACAAAATTTTCGATAATCAAATAGAATTTTTCGCCACTGGCATTCCTTTCCGAAGAAGATGACGATCGACTTAGATTCGATCACTCGCAAAGTCGATGTTGATAATCGCATTCCTCTCCGTTATTACTATAGGATTGCCGATAACCTCCTCAAGCAGGTACTTCTCCTCCTTCTCTTTCGATTTCAATCGATTATTCCTCAATTACGTTAGGGCTTTGCGAAATTGGTCTCGAATCCCAATATAAGAACTTTTTGTTCACTTTCCCCAAGAATTCTCATCCGAACGATTGTAATTTCTAATGCTTTGCCGAATTCATGCTATTTCTGTATTATGATCACTTTAACGTGTTTGTTCTAGCTATAATTTAACCGGTTAAGTATCTTTTTAGTCATGAAATTTAATTTTGTTGTTTTTAGTCTTCAAATCTATTTAACGAACTAAAATCACGCAGTTTTGTAATTTGTAGGACTGGAAGTTTTTTTAAGGACTAAAAAATTGAGATAATTATAGGGACTAACATCATACTTAAATATAGTTTAATATCTGCGACGATGGATTGTGGACACAATTCAATTGGATGATTTTTATGAGATTGTAACTTGTATGTTATAAATAGATATAAAACATGTATGTTATATGGAGTTTGAACTGAGAATGATGTATGAATGTTGTGGCTTGAATTTGGTGGATTAAACGAGTTTTTGTGTGGAATTACTTGAACTTTGACATGCCTATGTTATTGTTTCTTTTTCGTGTTTATCTCATTCCTTCTAGGTGAGTTCAATTGAATGATTAATCTTGTTCTTGTCAACAGGCACGTATTTACAGGGAGGAGAATAATATTGTTGATTTGTACATCATACTCCTTAGATTTATAAGGTAAAATTTTAAATGTTTATGGATTTTCTTTAAACTCACAAGTTTGGAGTTAAATTAAACAGTGTTGTGAAATAGCCACTATAGCATAGCATGATATAATTTGAACTAATTGTTATTGTTCTGTGATACACTATTTAGTACAAAATGTTGTCAAATAATGGTTGTTGGGGCGCTATAGCAATGTAGTATAGAAGAATTTGAACAAACTGCTATTTTGTGCTATCTGCGATTGACAACATTGAAATTATATATGACGTTTCCTTATTTTTGTATATTTTCAAGTTTGGTTTCCGAGACAATACCATATCATCGAGATTACCAAGTTTCACTTGCTAATGAAAGATCAGCATTTAAGAGGGTAAGAAACTGTTTTGCCAATTTTTATGGTAGATGTCCATGTGTTTATTTCTATTTTGTTAATTTAATATTTTTATATTTTTTATGCCATATATTTTTTTTTCCTTTACAGAGATCACTACTTGTGTTGGATGAGCTTGAGTCCTTGAAGCCTGCATTTAAACGCCGGTTGGACAAATTGAATAAACCACGCGTACAAGCTCCATTACCCGGAAAAAATGGGTTCAATACGGCTTCACAGAGTCCAGCACATTCAAGTTTGGAATGGTCAGCTGTCGATAAAAGACATGACTCGAACATGGATTTCAAACAGGTGAGGACCATGTGATATTTTTTTTAATAATAATTGTCAGGAAACTGAAAGTTCTCAAACTATTTTCATTTGTTCCATGGTGCCTGATCTAGATACAACTTGAAGGGCTTGAAAATTTTAAAATTTTATGGGCTCTACTTTTATTTTTTTACAATGAATTCAACGTACATTTGTGAAGGAGTTGTGTGAAGGTTTCATACTTTTCTGCTATTATGTGCTTGCACATGGCTTATACCTTTTACCAATATAGACTCTTCTTTCCATGCCATATTTGCAGTCTGTTGGAGTGGGCTCACAATCTTCATGGAAACCTAACAATACCTTATCTTCAATTTCCATGCCTATTGACAAGCAGTTTCAGAAATTGTAAGTATTCCTGCCTAACATTCTATAACTCACATGAGGCCTGTAACTAAGTGATTTTTTTTTTGTTATGAGTGGTTTCTTTGGGGTTTTGGCGATTCTAGGAGATAAATTTATGATGGTCAAATTAGTAAGGAACTAAGGGTGGCAAAATGGGCCAACCTGTCCTGTCTCGCCCCACAATCAACCAGTCTAGAATGAGGCGGGGCAGGTTAAATTACGATGGTGGGTTGAGCGTATCTGTGGGGTGGAAAAACGGGCCGGGGCCGCCTGCTTAGGCCGTCATGGGTTGGCCCAAAAAAATTGTCTAAAAAGTAAAAAATCCTGATTAGTTATATAAAAAGGAATATGACGTGTCTACCTGCCCTGTTTTCTACGGTTTATACGGGCAGGCCAACACAAATTGAAGGGTTGAAATTTTCAATCCACCCCGCCAAAGACTGGCAGATTAACTGAGCCAACTCGACGAATTCAACCCATTTGGACACCCCTACAAATTATGGATTGGGTTGCGATTGTCTGTGCTCATTCTTTTGACTTCTGTTTTTGTTCTCAACCAAATTTTCTTTTGTCACTTAAATGTCCAAGCGGATTTCATGTTGCCGGTTTTGCATTTGTTTTTCCCCAATCCCCCCCAAAGACACTGTTAAAATGAACAGAAGTGTTTCATTTCGACAGTGTTTCTTGTTATCAGAGGAAGAACTCATTGCATTTACTACTTCTACACCTGACTGGATATAATTATAATGTTTTATTTGTATGTTTTGGTTGCTTATATACTATATCCATTCCTAACACCATTTTCATTCAGCACACATTTAGTGTATAATGCTTCTTTGCTCTCATTAGCATTTATGGTCCTATTATCCCCGTAATTTGAGGAGGTTCTGTCTTGAACATTCAGATATATTTCAAAAGAAAAAATGATGTGTTGTAGCAGAACATATGATAATTGTTCTCTGGACTTTGCAGGTCTCTGAGTCTACCCCCACCAAATAAGGAGACCTTGTCAAGACACTCGTTTTTAGGTCCAAGTGGTCTTCGGGGACAATGGCTTGGACCTAGTGCAGAAATAAAGGTAAAATTGATGTGCGGGTCTGTTATATTGAGTGACCATGATTAATCTATATCTTTGATGTAATTTGTCGCAACAATGAAGTTTTAGAAGAGACATATGAAAACCTACCCAAGTAGATAATCTAAGATACTCTGAATTACTGTAAAGATGCAATGAAGTTTTTCATAGTTCTAAACAATGCTAATGATAGGGACTTTGGGTATTATGGGGTGCCCAAGTCCCACATCTAGTAGTGTGGGATACTCTTTGGCGGAGTATTTGTGCCCTGGTCTTTCTCCCTTGGTAACTAACTTTTAAGGAAATATTCCCCAAGTGCTTGGATACTTACAACTCATATTTGGTGCTGTGCAGGTTCAATATCCCAGCAGTAATGATTTTACTCATGCCAAAGATTCAAGGTTTGCCTCGTTTATTTTAATTTGAACTTGAAGTTTCTTTCTTTTTTCATATATCAATTTCACATATTAATGCCGTGAAAATTGCACAAGTTTTACATTCTCAATCTTTTGGATCATGGGGTCTATTTCTCTGTCCATTACAAAGAGCTCTTTAAGCAAAACCTGTTCTTTTTCTTTTTATTATTATTATTTTTTTTCACATTTGTTTTTAATATGTTCTTTCTCATTGTAACAATAATCTGAAAAAAAAAATGATTTTGGGAATATGTTGAAATCTTAAGATCATATTTTGTTCAAAGGTGTTTTGCTCAGCTTTGTTACTCTAAAATATAACTTCCCGCACACACACACTTACTGTTGTGTTCATGCTGATAGCGCTGTAAAGTATGATCTTGATGGCATTAAAGATAGTGATCAAGGACCACTTACATCCTCAATGGATTCAATTCTCTCCTTGGATGATGGAAGGTGGTCTCATCCTACTGTTGAGTCCTGTTCTCCTGTTGTAACTGAACCATGGGAGGACTCCTTACAGTTGCTCAACATCAAGCAACCTATGCCTCCTCCTGTTCTTGCTCAGGTTCACCCAGAACGTGCTTCTATTCCTCCTTCAAAAGTTGCAGATCCAAGGCCAGGACCGGCAAAATCTTCTCATGATTCTGGACATGGTCCCACTACATATCAACACCTACACATTGTAAGCCTAATTTAGTTTTCTCCTAGAAGTGTGCACCATATGTCTTGGACTCTTTTGGCGATTCATTGGAACTTTTTCTTATTTGTGTATGGTTCATTTAGTTCTTACATTGTGTAAATTATTATTTTACTTTGTGTTTGCAGCCTGTAAAAATGATGGAAGATTTTCTGAGACTGGCTTCAGCAAACACGCGAAATAATTTAGAGACTTGTGGTGTTCTTGCAGGATCTCTGGTAAGAGCAGTTGTAATTTTGTGTACCTCTAGATTCAAGAAAATTTCTTGGTGCTAATTTTAACAGTTATTTGTGCTTGCAATTGGGTGGCTCTAGAAAAACAGGGTTTTTCAGATCACAACACTTATAATCCCAAAGCAGGAAGCAACTTCGGACTCGGTAAGAAGATGATCATATTTAAGTGCTTGTGATACAGTTTTATGTTTTAAGTAAGTATATATATGCCATTATACTATCTGTATCAGAGGATGCAAAACACTAAGTAACCTATAATTTATTGATGAACAAAGCAAATTAGAAGAGAATAAAAGAAAAATCTGATAGAATGAAGTCTACCAGCCCAAGCCAACATGTTTACCTCACCAGAGACAGAATTCTATGGCATCCTCTCTCCTTACCCACTTATTCCTTATATAACTAACTCAGCACATGTCATTCACTCCCGCTACCCCATGACATTTTTTGCCATCGTCACTCCTTGGGCTCATTATCCGCATTTGGCCTCAGACGACCCATTTCTTCCTCTTGATTCCTATCATATTCCAACATTAAAGACTGCCTTTTCCACATTTATCTGCTTTGAGGTTATGCTGGTCACATGTTGTGATTGGAGAATTGTGCATAAATAGGAACTATTGACACTGGAGATGATTGTCTTAACATTTTAGTGAAAATGCTGTTTCAACTTTCAACCTCCATCAGTAACTGTAAGTTTGAATAACTCACATCTATTTTTAAACACAACGACTCTTTAGTCAATTTTAACAGTCATCCTTGGGAACTCCACTGATTGTGATAAGCCCCCTGCTACTGAGTTGTATAGGAGAAAGGATAGAATGGAAGATAGTTGATCAGCAGCTCACAGCTATTGGAGCTGTTGGATGGAGAATATTCAAGCCAATGACTTGCAGTGTTACAGACCGCCTATATGACAGTGGAAAATAAGTGACTAGCTAGTTTTAGTGGGGGGTATATGTGAAAAGAAGGGAGGGCTTCAGTGCAGGAGGAAGCATACACTCAAAGTTCTGTAGTGTTTTTATCATGTCGTCACATCCTAAAAACTCAAGCTATATAAACCTAGCATAGTAATCCTAATATTCAAAACCATAAACTTATTAGAATAGTTATCACAAATAACTATGCCAAGACATAAACATTTGATAATAAATAGATGGCACCAACCAAAAGTTTCAAAATACGCCATGCACAAGTTTAGTAAGTGTTATACTAATACAACCCAAAATGAATCCAACACTAGCCTCCTTATGTCTGCATAATGTACATACTCCAAAATAACATCAAGGGCCACTGGCCACTAAATCAAAGGAGGCCTACTTAAAATTGATGATGCTGGAAATATTTGAAATTGCTAGCTCCAACCCTAAACTTAAATAAGCACCACCAACTTAACTCACGGGAGGAACTGATGGGCAGGAATTTAAAGTTTCGCTAATGTCTCAATTAATGTTTGAGGTGTATAGAAATTGGAGCAAGTTGGGGAAATTATAAGTAGACCCTGTGGGTGTAAAAAAGGATGCAGAAAAAAGGGAAAGAGTGAAATGTGTGAGAAGCTTTGTTTACTTTTGTTTTCTTCATTTTTTACCTTAAGTGACGCCGTGCATTTCATCTATTTTGTTTTAAGTGATTTTTCAATGGTTTTCGTTGTGATTGGGATGACGCATATTTATTTCAAGTACACATAAAAATTCAAAGGATTGAAATTTAAATATGGTTCATTGATGCTTTTTTCTTCTACCCTGCAATGTTATTTTTCCATTAAGCAGTAGGGCATCTAAATTGACTTTATTGTTCAGTGTCAAACGTTGGATGAAGGAGAAATATTTGAAGTTCAAGACGGCTTGTCGCTTTTTACTTTAGGTTGGATACATGTAAGTCTCCTTTTTCGTTGACTATTATATGTAATTATATTCGAGAGTTACTTGTATTTTTATCCTGTATGGTGCAGCAAAAAACTTATCATGTATTATTGATTTTTCTTCTTCTGTACTGTCCTACTACAAGTCTCTGTGTGCTGACTAACTAGTATATGAAATTTGTATCACTTTTCTTGCTCATATTTATGAAGTAGTAAAGGATCATTCCTTAATAACTAGTTTCTCTTTGTAGTCCTGATACAGACGAATAATTGAGCTGGTTACACTAAAATAATTCATTATCAAAGAATTTACTTTTTGACAGAGTGATATCAATCTGAGTAGTATTACACAAATAAAAAGGCCAGATTTTTGACAAAATTTAAGGGTGCTTTAGCTTTAACTCTAACTCATCAACCATGTCAAATCATTCTGTCCCCGTTTCTCTAAAGCAGACAAAGTGAAAAACCAATGGATCAGTTGTAGTAAGAAGGAACAGGATGAATCCTTTTCATTCCTTTTTCCTCTTGGGGCTTTCGAATATACTCTACGATAACAATTGTGTGCTACTATTTTGTCCTCAAAAGGTCCCTCTTTATAGTTTCCATTGCCTTTAGGTACTTTAGCTTTACCTTGAAGATGATAATTTCTGCCTTGCTATGTTTAAAATAATTACTACCAAAGTAACCATAAGCCGTAACATGCTGATTTTGATGATTGAATGCATAAATTGATGTTACTCCGTCAATGCACAGTTGGATATAGATTACCGTTTGTTTCAACTACACCTTTGTGTTTATTTTATCCATACTTTTATTACTAATCTTACTTATTTTATCTTTTGATTTCAAGACACACCCGTCTCAGACTTGTTTCATGTCATCTGTGGATCTGCACACGCATTATGCATATCAGGTAATAAATGGCACTATATTTATAACTATGGCTTAGGTAGTTGGTGTAGCCATCTATTTATAACTATGGCTCAAGCAAGAAATATTGCATTATATATATTTGAATTTTTAATGTAGTTTATGGATCAAGGCCTACTATTTTGACATCTAATATTTTATTAAAAACAATTAGACAAGAAGCCATATTTTGCAATATTTAAAGATCCTGTAACATTTAATCAGTAATTACATGTAACATTTCTGTATTTCATTTTGATATATTTAACTGAAATGGTGCATATTTTGTGGTTTCATTTTAGATCATGTTACCGGAGGCAATTGCAATAGTCATGGCTCCAACAGATACATCAAGGTAACTTTTTCTCTGGCATTCATGAATTATAGCATTACAGATTAAGCAAGGAAACATCTACAATAACCCTAATCGCAATCCGAGCTTTGGCTTCTCTTCACCCCCAATTTTGTCCAATTGTATGCTTATGGTCTACATTCACGCACCATGAATAGAATGCATCCTACTTTAATTAACCTTGATGGTAAGAGGTTGATAGTTATTTAGGTGAATCCAAGGGATGTACGGTTGAAAAGATGCAAAAATCAGACCTCATTTGCTACTGTTCTGAAGTCCCTAACATCTCCGCCCACCAAACTCAGCCAACCTAGCCAAGGGATAGTTATCTACTGTTTTTTGCTTGTGTTATATTCTCACCCCCTTTCTTGCTTACATCTTCTCTTTCTTTCTTTCTCTCCTTTCTTTTCTCGTCACACAGCCTCTCACTTTTGTTTCTCACTGACTCACTTTTTTCTCTTTCTATCTGATTGTTCTACACCTTTCTCAGTACTCAGAGAGAGCAACATTTTATGATTGTTTATTAGTTATTAAAGGCATGAAACCTTTTCTTTGCAAAATTTTTTGACTATGAGTTTGAGTGCGAGAAATATAAGGCCTTCATCCCGTAACAAACGGCACATCCACAATCTGTGATCCTTAATAAATATCTTTCATGTATATTAACTGGTTAGGTAACGTTTTCATCACACAAATTAAAAATATCTTTGTCAATGCCATGTAAAAGCTAATAACACCAACCTTTGGAAATGAGTATAGTGCTAATTCAATACGAATATACTATTTAAAGGTTATTTATTTAAAAAGGAGTTATTATTACATTGATTTGTTTTACTCTTTTTATATACATGATTTGTTTTACTTTCTGTCACTAACTAGAAGAACTCTGCATGTATGTGGTTGTTGCAGTCCACATGGAATATTTCATCTGTCTGATCCAGGAGGCGTGTCTGTAATTCGTAACTGTCAACAACGTGGATTTCATCCCCATGAAGAGCCTTTAGATGGAAGTCCAATATATGAGCACTGCTCTCATGTCTATATGAATGCTAACATGAAGTTTGATGTTATTGACCTTCGAGAGAAATGATGAATTGGGCGCCCAAAAGAATTTTTCTTCTCAAATTTTATTAGTACAAGGATCTACCCCGTTTTCTACCGGATTTTTTTTTTGTATTTATAAATTATAATAGAATATACTGATCACCAGACCATGATTTTGTACTATACTAGCAAAGCTGTGAAAAGATAGTTGTATAAATCTAGCAATATTTAATACACGGTGAAGAAATGAGATGCTTAAAATAACTTGAATGTGATATGCGGTAATACAATACTTCTGCATTGTACAGAAAACACCATGATCCATGAATGTTATATGCCTCGATAGAAATACTTAGGATTTGGGGCTCTGATTCTGCACTGTTGTAGGTTTGTTATTTAGAATATTTTCAGTCTCTGCTCATCAAATTATTTAGAGAAACTATAGGTTCAAGGTATCCTAGAGACAACCTCATAAGTTATAAAAACAATATCTCAATATAATATTCAAACTACTGTGGCTAATGCCTTCAGTTAAAAAATTAATCCCAGATTTCATTGTGAATTTGCAATTACTGACATTCATCTTCAAAACGAATTTGAATCTCCTGCGACAGAAATCACACCCTGCAATTAATGTATTTTGTGGTTTATTAATGTCATTACCTCTTAAATTTCTCTCTTTCCAATCCATCTTTTGTTCATTCACACTAATTGTAGATTTCAAGGTCTGATTTAGGGATGTTAAAATGGGTCGTGGTCTGTCGGGGTCTGGGTCTGCCCATCTCCTAAAATATGGGGGGTTGAGTTGGGATTTTGGGTTCCGCTCTCCCCGCAGCCCACCTCAGTGCACTTGTTTACTCGCTGTAGTCCGTCCAGCAGACCTGTCGGGCTGATTCAAGAGCTACAATCCGTTTTACCACCTTTAATTTCAATCTGTCATACATTTAAATATCCTATAGCATCAATATAATGATATAGTTAGGTTGATAAATTAAATTTATTACGTCAAAAGAAATCATTTTCTATCCTATCCATATAATATAAGATATTTAAAAATATATTTTAAATACTCAATAATAAAACCGGTAGAGACAAAATAAAAATCTAACTCAATGATGTGTTATAGTAATGATGCAGTGATTCAATATTGTAGATATACTTTGTTCATGTTGCTTAGAAATTAACAATCAACATACATCCTACTCGAGAACTACTTAGCAATGACATATCCAACTAATCGGTTACTATAGATCAACAAATATTATATCTATAATTTAGATAACATAACATGTAATCACCTATTAAAAAAAATTCAAATTTCATAAAACAAACCATATCCAAGTCTAATTCAAGAGTTTTCCTTAATCAATAATTTCATAAAACAAATCATATTCAAGTCTAATTCAAGAATTTTTTTGATTATAAAAAAATTGTTCTAAATCTAATTTAAATATAAAAAACTATTGATTTATTAAAAAATGAAGAAAAAAAAGGCAGTTAAGCCCGCCGCCTGCCAACGCGTAACTTTGGTGAGACGAGTTAGATTTTTAAATCCAATTTTACTTTGCGGATTTGCTACGGAAATAAGCGGACGATCTGTTTTGCCACCCTTAATCTGACTGCAGAGAATTGAGATCTAAAACCACCCATAAAATACCTACCCACTTTTCATGATGCATGAAACAATTAGTTGCATATTTAGAAAACATGAGATTAGTGGTTAAACTTTATTTTTGTAATTTTAAAAAAATTGTTCAGTTTATTTAATTGTTTTGGTAATATATTTTTGGTATAGTAGCATAATGATTAGAAGAGAATGACACAAGTTTGAATATGCGTTCATGCAATTATATTGTTCCGTTTAGGAATCAGAAACGAATACGATTGATGAACTGAACCTCTTGAATCGATGGTGTTGATCTCAGTTATGACGTTGCAGGGTGAACATGCATGGTTAGTACTCCAACACCTAAGTCAGTTCAAGATTCGAGATGATTATAATAAAAAGTGAAGATCAGAGAATGTACTTTGTTTTTTGTGTGAGATGACTTTATATCTTGGTCAAGTGGAATGGATTTGAGATAGGTCTTAGCTATTTGGGCCTTTGGCTAACTCAAAACAGTTTTCTCCAAGACTTTGTTGGACACCGAGTGAGCTGGGAAAGCCTTTAACGATTTTGGTCGGCCTTCAAGATGTTGTTTAGTGTGAGCTAGAACTGAAACACATGGAGTATGTTGAAAAAGTAGTAGGGGACATAAGCATTCAATGCTTTCTTACCACCAAAATGTTTCACTATCTGCTTTCAACGAGTTATCCTAGATATGTAGGTGACCAGAAAATGATTCCCCTACTTAAGGTACTCGAGTACCTCTGGCTATTCGTTCTGCTGGATGGGGCGGTGTATACACAACTGTTGGATATTGTCATACCCCAAATTTTACCTTTAGATCATTAGGTTCATTTCACATTTCATCTCATTCTGCATTGCATTGTAACTAACTGCTAACCGGTTTGTCCAGTCTGTTGGTTTTTGTAGGAAAGTCCCGCTGTGTGTGATTTAATTTGTGAAGGGCAAAGGGATTTGGTTGAACTCAGATGAAATTTAATTCTAAGCTGTGCAGGATTGTATAGCTGTCGAAGTTAGACGATGAAATGCTAAAATTTAGTCAGAGGAAAATTCATGTTGTTTAGAATTGGACTTTTCTGTTTCTCTGGTCAAAGGTGATATCCACCAATGTTCATTGTCGAATACGGATTGAACATCAGGGGTTAGTTTCGAACTCAGCAGTTATGTCGAATTTAAATCGTGCAAGATGATTAATTGTCGAATTCAGAGTTTGGAACGTCAAAGCTTAATAGGATAACTTTAATTGGATGAATTGACTTGGGCAAATTTATTTGGATGAGTTTAATCAGATAAAATTAATTAAATGAGTTTAGTTGCTTGAGTTTAATCGGATGAATTATTTGGAGAAAGTTGATCAGGAATTAAATTCAGTATATTAAGTAAGAAATGAAACTTTTTTATTTAAGTTCTATATTTTTTTTACAATTTACAATTACAATTACAATTTAATTCCTAAGTGTCATAAAATGCCTAATTGTTCTAAGTTGTCTCCGCGTCCGATTCACCAACCTTCGACTTTTTTCTGAACCTGCAAAGAAAACCGACAACATAGAAAATAATGGTTAAACGGTTAGAATCAGTAAAATTGGTTTGTTTACTAATTATTTCGATACCCTCAGTAAAAGTCATCATCGAGTACGCCGGGAGGGCAACAACGACGAAGTCGTCGCCAGCTCCCGACTTTTAATTTTCGACCCCGACACGGATCCGGCAGATTTCTGTTCTAATTCATTCCAAGAGAGGGAGAGAGTGATTTGTTGAGAAAAAGTGCTTTTAAAAAAAGCGCTTATTCTAAAAAATGATTTTCTGCGTCCATGCCAAACAAGTCCTAAACAACATTTCTCAAAAGTTCTGGACCCAAAACGGATCAAACAACCTATCTAAGCACATCCATGAAAAACGCAAGTCCAAAACAAGATCAAACCAACAATGCAAAATAAACGCAACAACAGCCCAAACGTAACAATCCAAACAGCAAATCCGCCGATTTCTCCAACTCAAAATAATCACAACAAATAAACCAAGTCAAAATGCATCAAATCCGCAACCAAAATCATAACAACAAAGCAATGAATCCAGGCCCATCAGAACCAATATAAAACCATCAATATCAAGTTCCTCAAAGGAGGGATCAGATCATCATCCGAAAAGAAGAAAAGGGGGGCAAGAACATCGTCAGTTTAGACGAAAAAGAGGGATCATCAGTTTAGATCAGAAAAAGAGGAAACGAACACCAGCGCAAACCAAAACGGACGAATACCATCATCAGACTTTATTATCGTTTGCAAACGGAACAACCGACAACCACCGCGCAACCACCACAAGTCGGCCGTCACCCACAACCTCGTCATCACCGCAAGTTACCGCAAGTCGCCGCAAATCATCGGCGAAATCGCTTCAAACCTGTGAAGGGTGAGCAACTCGTTTTTCATGTTTGTTGTTTTGATATTTCAGGTATCGTATGAAGAAGAGGGTGACAAAATGGACAAGAAAGTGAAGAAGAAAAATTTCACAGCAAGCTCAAAGAAGCAACAATGGCCGCCGCTCGCCCAAGGAAGAAGAAGAGGGTCAAAGAAACCCTAGAACATGCAACGCCAACATTGCCCCTTCCCCATTTATATTTCATTCTTTTTTATTTATTTTATTTTAATTTTAACTTCAGATTTTATTTTTAGTTTTATAACAAAAACATATACTCTATCTTATGTCTTTAATTAGAATTTAAGTTTAAAACCAAACTTAAATTAAAAGTCTTAAATTTAAAAAAAAACATTTTTCTTAAAATTTAATTAAAACCTTTTTAAAAAACAAAACTTAAAATAAAAATCTTTTTTAATAATTAAAAACTAGAATTTAAAACTTAGATAAAAAAAGCTAAAATTAAAACTATTTTTAAAATTTAATTTAAAAATTTAATTTGGAATTTCAATTCTCAATTCAAGGGTTAAAAAAATTCTAAAGTTTTAAAATTAACATTTTTATAAATCTAGTAAAATTAACTTAGTTGTTAATTTATTGATTTTCTAATTAAAACATTGTAAAGATTAAATTCTAATTTTTAGAAACAGTAATTTAAAACCCATCAAAAATTTAACTTTTTTTAAAAAATAAATTAAAACTTGTTCGAAATTGCTAATTTTCATCAACTTTCGCCTTTTAATTAAGACTATTTTTCAAATTAATCCTAACTTTATCTTAAAACATGTCTAACCTAATTGTGTAGTATTTCGCTTTTAGTTTCGAATTGAACAGTCTCCTAATTGCGGATTGGATTCCAAACTTTGCCCTGTTTAATTTTGTCTGATGTTTATGACGTTCCTAACATTATGTCGCTATTTGTCCTTGTTTACTAACGTCATATTTTTTTTCGTGTTTCATTTTTTATGGTTGTAAATTATGCGAGGACATCGTTATTCTTG